TCCGGCCCCCCCCCGTCACTCCCTGGGGCTCCGTTCCCCGGCTCCTGGCCGTCCCCCTTCCAGCTCCATCCTCCCCCAGCTCCGCGGGGAGCCGGGAGCGCAGGTGGAGCGAGTGCCTTTTGTCCCAGGTACTTCAGCCGCAGTTGGCAGTGCGTGTTCCCCGGCAGCTTCCATAGTCCGGTGGCCCTCCTTTTCCCTCTTCTCTGCGGCCCCGGCAGGAACGAGAGGCTTGTGGGCGCTGAGTGTGTCCCCTGAGCTGCTGCTCCCCTCAACTTGCAGATCTGCGGGTGGCACTTTGTTAAAAGGTTGAAATCGGATTCCCTTAGAAACGCACATGGAAGGGGTGCCTCCGGGCAGGAATTTGTTGTTGAAATGACCAGAGAAGGGCCCTGGGGAATTGGCAAGGGGCTTGGTGAGGCCATGACCAAGTTGTAATTTTTTTCTCGAAAACCGTTTATTACTGATGAGCTAGTAAAAAAAAAAAAAGACTTCACTAGTTCATATTCGTAGCAGAAGAGATTCTTCAGCAGATGAATTGCGAGTTTCTAAAGGTGTATCCAAAGCGTTACAGTCGCCTTCTCCCCTCCCCCGGTTTCTTTTCCTAATTAACACCATCCCCAGCTGTACAGGGAATGTGGCTTCTTGACTCTCAGGAGCTCTTGGTGGACTTAGCGGTAACAAGGGGCGTCACCTGAGCAGTGAGTTTGAAGCCATGTCAGTTTGTACCATATTGGAATCTCCACCAAAGCCCGTCTCCCTTGGAGAGCATCAGCCCGGGAAGCATCCTCCACCCAAGATTGGCTTCAGTGATGCCTTGACATAAGGAAACAAAATCTTTCATGATCAGCCGCTTCGAGTGGGTTGTGGTGAAAAGCCAAATTGTGAACACGTGCTGGCTCCCTACCTTGGGCTTCCTGGCCCTGCTGAGCCCAGGCATGGCATTGGTTTTGCGGGGTTGCCCTTTGGTACGCAGTGCCAAGCAGTCAAAAACCGGGGCAAAGTGCGGACTCTTGGGGGCGTTGTGAAATGAACGCTCCTGTTCCAGACTGGAACCGACCCGAAGCTCATGGACACATCAGCTCTGTTTACAGTTTCCGGCAAATGGGAAGGAAACGAAGTAGAACAAGAACCCCCCCAAATCAAACCTGAATTTCATTTTTTTTCTTAAAAAATGGCGTTTCTATAAATGTGGTATAAGATGCTTAATTCCTTTTTCTCCTGCCTGTCCCACTCTTCCTAAAGGGCCCTAAATATTTAGTTCCTCTATATAAATTTAATAAATATGAACTCAGGCAGTTTTTTGGGGTGTGTGTGTGTGTGTGTGTGTGTGTGAGATATAGAATATTACTAAAATTAGGAACTTCTGCTCTTTTTCCCCCCTCAGTGTTTCGAACTTAATGTGACTTCTGTTTTTTATTGTCCTAAGAATGTAGTACGTGTTAGGGTATTCACTTCCTTGTATAAATGTCTTTGTTTAGGTGGTGTTCTGTAGCAAGGCTTTTTTTTTTTTTCTTTTAAGGCAGAATTAGTGACTGCGAGCATATTTCTTATGATATCTTAGAAATGAGAAACATCCACAGGAGAGTAATTTTAGGAAACAGCTCCTTAGCAATTGATATTCTGTTGCTATTTTTAAAATAGACTCTTGAGTTAGGCAGTTGGGACCTCCTCCAGGGATCCTCATTTTTGTTTGTTTGTTTGTTTGTTTTGGTGTTTATCTCAGTGGCTTTGGCTTCAGGGCTTTAGATTTGCAATGTGACCCTTTACAGCAGTGGTTCCCAACCTTTTTTTGGCCACGCCCCACCTAAGCATCTCTAAAATCCTGATGCCCTCCCCCCACCCCCCATGACATAGAATTCTTATTATTCAAAAAGTGGACTCCTATTCACGTGGAGGAAGCCTAAAAGGCCATTAGCTTGGTCTAAACAAGCTTCTGAAGAACATGGCATCCATGAAAGAGAAAAAGAAAAGAACAAAAGGACAGTTGAAGTCCTGAGGAAGACATCACCAAGAAATTGTTAAAAAAAAAAAAAATAAGACTATGAAGTGATACAAAAAAAATAGCAAATAAACTTTCAAAACACATACTAGAGAACTGAAATGCATAAATAGGTCACAATACATATTTATATACTGTATATGAGGCCCCTAGAGCCATAAGAAATGCAAAAAACTCACTGTTAATAACCCATTCTCGAATTGCTCCCCCTTAAAAATCAAATTGCCCCCCCTGTGGGGTGTGCGCCCCAGGTTGGGAACCACTGCTTCACACAGTCACCGCCACTGCTTGGGCTGAGTTAGGATTCATTTACAGTGAGATTATCAGGTAAAAACATCTTGCAGTTTTTGCCTACCACTGGATGGCAGTTAGCGGCCTACCTGCTGGATTTCGGGGTGGAAGGTTGGGGATTTCTAGATACGGTAAGGAAGTTAATTTCATGTTAAAATGCCTCAGCAGGGTGACTCAGAAAGACTAGTGTGATTTCACTCTTTCTGTAAAGGTTACTGGGTCAGATGTTTTGTGCTTCCTCCTTCATTTTGGAGTGACCCATGTGATCCCCCGTCTTTGGTGGAGAGGTTCGATGTGTAGCTTTAGTATCTACGTGAGAAACACAAAAACAAGCCACTGGCTCATCACGGGGGACTTTTTATTTTTTCCA